ACAATATGAAGGAACATGTGTCAGCGACGAATTGCAACATGTTTCCTGTCCTTAGACAATCACAGAATTTATAGAAAGAAATTAGTCAAATAATTCTCGATCAGCACTCGAATAATTAATCAATTGAACTTGTAAACCTATGGAATCACGTGTACATGTACATCGCTACAATAAACATTGGGCAGGATCTATAATACATTTACGATTATTGTGTTTAAGTTTCATTTCTTATACCAAAGTTTGGCCTTACAATGAATTAAAAACTATCATATATTTCTATTAAACATTTAAACAATCATAAAGGGTACAATTTATATTACCTCCATGCCTCTGTGTCTTCAAATTTGACTGAATTGAATGACTGTAATTCTGAGACACAACGCGTGATGAACTTGAGCGCGGTAAAACTTCTGGTCGCTTGAGGGCGCTATAACGAAGCACCGTCATCAGTTACAGTGGATATCAGGGAATTTGGCCTTCCACAAAATGAATCTCTTAACTGCACAACCTAATGTGAATGGAAATTAATCATTACTGGGGATGGGGTCGGGGGTGGAGGTAGGGATGCATTTCTCGCAATGACACTGGGCTACCTGGGCCACTTTTGTTGGGCAAGAATGGGATGTCATGGAAGGTAGTTTGCCAATCGAGCCACATTCTGCGCAGGCTGTGCTGAGGGTGGTTAGCTGGTACCGTAGTATCCGGGGGAGAACGACACACCTTCGTATGAAACTGTCGACTTGCATGTTGGGCAGGGAACTTCATACGAGTCATTGTGGTAAAACCACTGATACAAGCATGATGCACAAAAGTTAAGCTCACAGAGGCTTGGACGGAGGGCGAGCCAATAATACATTGGCATATCACACAAATAAAGAGTGTTTCTTCATGTGGGTCTTTGCCTAGTATGCAGAGCTTATGTGAAACTGTGTGTTCCTCTTTGATCTGGAGATTAAATGGATCCTCGGTAGAATCCCGAAAAGAAATCTGAGTGTCCTTGTGTTTACTTTGTGCAGAGTTACCAGTAGATTTAGCTATACATGCCTTCTGTATCTTTCACATGTTGTACATGTTCCAGTCCGAGTATGTTTTGGCCACTCTGAAACACAAACTGTGAGCAAACTAGTCACACTCGAATCCCGTGTCTGGTCTTTAAGGAGCCTCAAATTTCTTGCACATCTCCAACAAACCTTTGTGGGATGACACTATGGATCATCCAGCCAAACGCTGACGTTTACAGATAGCAGTTCTTTGGTGAATTCAGAACACAAGCTTTCTGCTTGCTCGAATCTCTGACCGAATTTAACTTTCCACAGATCCTACACAGCCGTTCTACACACTGCTTGTGGAAATCCAAACTCATTCTCCACCATTTTCACACAATTTTACAGCCCAAAGAGAGAATTAAATACAAGACGTGTTTACGACGCAGCGACTAATGCAGAGTGAGCCCGTATAATAATATAGTGACCGAAAAAAATTCATATCTCGCGCCGAAACACGGCCCGAGGTGCCCGACTACTCCACCCCTGGCTTTTAACGCGCTGTATGCCATGCAGAAGGCAGGTTTCCATACCGTGCATTAACATTTCACCGAGCAGACGTTCATTTTTAGGGGAAGAAAATCGTCTTTTAACCACATATACCACTTGTCTGACTATTAAAACTTAAAAAGAAGTTAAAACTTTTTATAATATTTACAATTATACATTTTATTTGCTGAGGAAAACTTGGAATCCAGAATAATACGTATTTTTACGTCGATTCTTATTAATGGTCATTTGTAGCAAAGGGAAAATATGCGAAAAATCAGCTTCATTCTCAAAATATATTCGTCGTGACAAATTTTATAACCCATTTCGTAGAGAAAAAACTATTTTCATTAAAAAAGTACTGTTGAATGTTTTTTCTAGATTATGGCTCTTGAGATATTGTAATTTTTCTGCAGTTATTTTAGTTTCGCGCTACCGCGAAAGTAGCCGCCATTTTGTTTTTCGTAGCATGCATCATTGGAGGAAACATTTGTTTGTCGCGCAAACTTTACGTGCGTTGTGGCAATGCACGTGAAACAGCCGTGAGCAAACAGCGTCGGAGAGGCTGAGTTAAACTCTCTCTTATATATATATAAATCATATCGAGTTGAAGCGTCTCATTGGGGGCGCCGCCAACGGCAGATCAGAGAAATGCGTGTAGAATTTGATGCTGAGTACGCTGTGTCATTTTGAAATCACTCTATACCACTCATTTGAAGTACTTGGCACAATTTGCTCACTCGGTATCTGAAACTACGTTTATTCAAGATCATGTCATGAAAATATCCTATCGAACTCGGAAAGTTTTGTGTAAGTACTTTTATGTTTGAAGTTCGACATGCATGTTACAACCGAATTATACGCGCATTCTCTATGGGTCTTCGTTCAAGCGAATCACAACACTGCTCTTTCGCGACGTGCCGTGTCCCATTGAACCTTGTTATGCGATTTGCTCACTCGGAATATGAAAGAATAGTTCACAAATATTCAAATTATATTTTAATAAAAGTTCAGTATGAAAATTTTGTGTTAGTACTTTTTACTTTCAAAAGAACTTCAGAAGTTCAGCGTTTTAACTTTGGTAGCGGTACGCCACGGGGAATTCATATTTGGTCAACTGGACTGTTTCATTTCTTTCAAGGTTTTATTTTTAGAAATAACTATTGCCAACTATTTCTACATAAAGTTTATGTAGCGGCAGCACTAAATCAATTTCGAGGTGCAGTCTTTTTGGTGTTCGAAGTGCTACTACTAGGGGTTTCGCAGGGGGTCACAGGTCACATTTAGGTCACAGGTCACATCTAGGTCAAAGGTCGGTAACTAAGGAGTAAACAAGGGTCTCTACAGAAGCCGTTGATTATAACATCTTGCATTTATTCCATGAAAATGATTCGCAAGTCTTCCATGAAATGGTTCGCAGTGGCTTGTGAAATAATCCGCAGTGGCTTCGTGAAAACTGTGAATATATAAACAAAGTAAATATCCTTAGTTCACAGAGTATTACATGAATTATAAAAGCATCGTACATAAATCATCACTTAATCCAAATTCCTAAATTCAATGGTTAAACATATACGAAAATCACACTCAATTTTGAACTATAGAATGTCAAAACTGATCGCAGAATTATCTATAAAAATGAATCAAATATACGGTTTACACTTCTTTCTCAAGAATAATAAGAGTCTCTAATTTACCTCCTTGCATCCTTTCCCTCTTAATTCAGTTTGTTGGGTCTCAAAAGAGACAAAACCTCAAGCGATTCTCAGAAAATATCGTCCAAAGATGTCTGACATGAAGGGATTTTACATGTGCTAATGTGTGTTTGTTCGTGGCTCAGTTGTGTTCTCCAAAGTCATCTGACAGAGGGCGCTATACACAAATGCAAACTTGTGAATACATTAACATGGCTCCCCAAATTAGAGTAACTAATTTACAATCAGAAGTTATAGTAATCTAAACTCGTCTTGATCAACATTGTGAACATGCACTGATTAGACTAAAATGCAAAAATTACATGGTAACTGCTCCTTTAAGTTGTCTGAGTACATTGTACAAACATACAATAAATCATCTTTGAAGCATCTCACTGGTAATCATTTACATTCGAACAAGATAAACTATCAAATTTCGAAACTCAAGTACTTTAAACAACAATAAACTAACAGGTTATCTAAGCATACAACTACTAAACACAACATGTATGTTGAAGCTTCTCAGGGCTCCTCGTCGGGGATTCCCCTGGTCTCCAAGTCCTCCACAAGTAAGACTAGCTTCTGAATGGGACGCTCCAGGAACTTCTCAGAATGGACTCGCTTTCCGTTGTCGTCCAAGTGGGGGTCACCAATAGCGAGTTTGACCCTCCTTACATGATTGTCCTCGCCTGGGAACACCTGAGCAATCCGAGCAAGCAACCATTGATTGCGAGGAAGATTCTCGTCTTTGATGATGACAATGTACCCAATGTGAAGGTCATCCTGTGGTCGTATCCACTTTTGACGCAGTTGGAGGTTTTGAATAAACTCCTTCCTCCATCGTGACCAAAACTCACTGTTAAGTATTGAACTCTACGCCATCGTTTGCGGGAGTATATGTCAGTACGCTGGAACCTTCCAGGCGGTGGCAAGATGATAGTGGATTTCATCGTCAACAGGTGATTTGGGGTAAGTGGCGCAAGCGAAGTTGGGTCATTCAAGTTGTCTACTGTAAGAGGTCTACTGTTAACAATTGCTTGCAGCTGCTTCACACATCAGTGTTCTCAAAGACTCGTCATCAAGCTGAGAGCCTGCCTGATGCATCAGTGGCCCCAGAACTCTACGCACCGAACGTATTTGTCGTTCCCATGCTCCTCCTGTATGGCTGGCTGATGGAGCATTCATCTTGACTTCATAGTGGCTGTAATCGCATCCCTCCTTCAGGAAAAACTGCCTCGCAGAGCTATGGTCCATTTCAGCAACAGCTTCTTTGAGCTCGGACTCTGCCCCAATGAAGTTCGTGCCTCTATCAGATCTCAGCTGTCGTATGGGCCCACGAATGGAAATGAATCTCCGTACAGCATTGATGAAGGAGTCCGAGCTGAGACTTGCTGCTGTTTCGATGTGAATGGCACGTGTTGCCATGCACGTGAAGAGCACACCGTATCTCTTCAATTCCTTTCTTCCCTCTTTGATGTACCAAGGACCAAAGAAGTCCACGCCACAGTTGGTAAATGGTGGTGCCGGTTCGAGACGGTCTTCCGGCAGGTCCGCCATCTTCTGCTCTTGAACTTGGCCGAAGAGCTTCCTGCATCGTACGCATTTGGATATGTAGTAGGAAACAGCCGAGCTACAACCAATAATCCAAAAGCCATTCATTCGGATTTGATTCACGGTCATGCCCCGACCCTGATGTTGGGTTTGCTGATGGCAATGTCGAATGATCAATTCGGTGATGTGGTGCTTTCTGGGCAAGACAGCTGGGTGTTTGAAGTTAGAAGGGAACCCAGCCCCTTCTAATGCGGCCTCCAACTCGCAGAATGTTATCAGCATCCAGAAATGGGTCCAATTTGTAGAGACAACTCTTAGTCTTCATGACTTTGTTACGCTCTCGAACCTTGGCTCTGCTAGGGTTGTCGCTGTTGACCTTGAGAGATTCCAGGATTTTGATTTCCTCTGCAAAGGCTTCTTTCTGCACCAGTCTCAGGATTTCTAGTTCCGCTTGGCACATGTCCTCTACCATCACAGGTTTGTAGAGAGGATTCGCATCTTTTCGTAGAGCCTGGATCGAATTTGGCTGTGGTTTCTTTATGGAACGCTTCATCAGGAGAGACTTGAACTTCAGACAAGTTGCTATAGCTCTCTTGGCTTGATGCCATTCAGAGAAGCGCTCAAGACGTTTAAGCTCGAATGTCTGCTTCGCAGTCTGTGTAGCAAGGCTCTTGACCTTCTTCACCTCCAGATCCTCTGGAGATATGGTTGGACTACTGGCTTCAATTGTGATAGGAACCTGCTCTTTCCACAGAAAGTTAGGTCCAACAAGCAACCTTGATTTGTTCATCAATTCCTCAACTCCAAGACCCCTTGATCCGTCATCTGCCGGATTAACATCTGCAGCAACATGTCGCCACTGGGAAGGCTTGGTGTGGTCTCTGATACGCTGTACCCGATTCGCAACAAAAACATGGAATCTCCGTGCATCATTGGCAATGTAGCCCAACACTACCCTACTGTCGGTCCAGAAGACCTCATAAACATTCTCATACTCGAGCTCCTTCTGTAACAGAGCACTGACACGGACTGACACCACCGCAGCTGTTAGCTCAAGGCTTGGCACAGAAACTGGCTTCAGAGGACAAACTCTGCATTTCCCCATGATGAGGCTGCAGTGTACTCTTCGCTGGTCATCGGTGAGTCTCAGGTATGAACATTGGGCATAGCCAGTGGAACTCGCATCAGAGAAATGATGAATCTCTACCGATTCAACACGACCAAAATTCTCCGGAAGAAAGCATCGTCGCATCTTGAAGTTCTCTAAAAGAGTCAAATCGCTCCTCCACCGTTCCCAAGCTGGCCGTAATGATTCAGGAAGTGGATCATCCCACTCTGCCTGATCTCTGCACAGCTCCTGTAATATCTGCTTACCAACCAACAGAACAGGACTCACAAATCCAAGAGGATCATATACCGAACTGATCGTGGAAAGGATTCCTCGTATTGTGAGTGGTTGGTCCTTCAGAATGATTCGAAACTGGAATGTGTCCGACTCGATACACCAGTGGACGCCAAGTGCTCGCTCGATGGGGAGAGAGTCGTGACGCAAGTCAAGATCCTTGATTCCTTTGGCACGATCCTGTGGCGAAACTGCTTCCATCACTTCTCGTGAATTGGAGACAAACTTATGCAATCGCAAACCACCTCTGCCACAGAGATCTTTGGTCTTCGTTATCAACTCAATGGCTTCTTCGCTGGTGGAAACAGATCTCAGACCGTCATCCACATAGAAGTCATTTCGCACAAAGTTCGCAGCTGCAGAACCACATTCTTCTTCGTAGCTGTTCGCAATTTGTTTGAGACCAAAGTTCGCACAACCAAGCGATGATGCCGCACCAAACAGATGGACATTCATCTGGAACTCCTTTGGTTCAGCTTCAGGGTCTCCCCTTTCCCACCACAAGAATCGAAGGAACTTCCGATGGTCTGGAATCACATAGAACTGGTAAAACATTTGCTCTATGTCGCACATAAAGGCGATCGGTTGTTGTCGAAACCTACATAGGACACCCACAAGTGTGTTGGTCAGGTCAGGACCCTGTAGGAGATAGTCATTCAAAGACTTTCCTTCAAACTTGGCACTGCAGTCAAAGACCACTCTGATTTTCTCAGGTTTTTTCGGATGGTAGACACCATGATGGGGTATGTACCATACATAGTCATCAGAGACATGAAGCTCGGAATCAGGAACCTTCTGTGCATAGCCACTCTTGATGATGTTATTCATGAAGGTATTGTACTCGCTGTGATACTGCGGGTTCTTCTTGAACCGGCCCTTTAGCTGTTTGAGACGCTGAAGAGCTTGAATCTTGTTGTTTGGAAGTTTAGGTTCTGCTTCCTTGAAGGGTAACGGCATAACAAAGTGACTGTCGCATTTTTGATGAATACCCTCCTCCATCTTGGTCAAGAACTTACGGTCGTCTTGAGACAGTGCAACCTCATCTGACTTTCGCTTGGAGAAGTCTAGTTCCATCATTTGTATAACTTCGTAGGGACTGACCATCTCCTTTACACGACTTCTGAAGGAGAATTGAATGTTGTCAACATTCTCTTCTGTACATCCTTTCAGGCTTTCACGAACTGTCAAAAACGATGGCACTTCATGGATCAGAATTCTGTGACTCACACCGATGGGATCACAGTCGTCGACTCCGCACTGGTTGGGGTCTACAATACCGACGATGCCCCAGCCAAGGTCGGTTCTTTGACCATATGGTCCATTGTTGACAGGAGGAACGACATCACGAGGTGCCAAGGCACGCGGACAATTATAGCCGATGAGAATGCCTACTTCGCAGTCAGTCGAAGGCATCAACAAATCAGCAAGCTTCTCCAAGTGTGGCCACTTCCTGGCCATCTCTGAGGTCGGGATATGAGAACGGTTGGCTGGCATTATTTCCCTTGAGTATGCAGCTGGTAGCAAAATCTTTAGATGGCTGTCGAACCCACGCACTATCAGCCCATCTACTTTCTGCTTGCTACCTTCTGATCCTCCGCAAACATGGTGGACAGCAGTAAATTGACCTTGGTACCCTGTAGATCCAATGCCTCGCAAGTGCTGTCCAAAATGAATGTCATATCTGACTGAGTGTCCAAGAGCGCATAGACCAGCCTCTCTTTCTCCGGTTTATCACGATGTGAGACCCATACTGGGACGATCATCGAACTTTTACAGCAGTTGCTCGTTCCACTAAGATGACTAACACCTGTGTGGGAGCTGACAGATGTTTGCTGCTTCTCAGAATTCTGCTGAGGATTTTTTCCACCTTCTGTGGGTTTCTCTGTCTTTCTTATGTCTCCATGAAGAGCTGTCGGATGAGACTTTGCGCAGGTTTTGCACGTGGCTCTCCGTTTGCAGTGCTTTGACATATGCCCTTGGCTAAGACATCCGAAACAAAGCCCCTTTTTCATCGCAAAAGTCTTGCGCTCTTCCAATGGCTGTTTCAGAAATTCCCAGCAATCGCCCAAGTTGTGATTCTTGCTACAGAGAAGGCAGGACTTCGAATTCTGGATCCCCCTTCCTGTGTTGCTGTTCTTTGTTGCCTCATTTGCACTGGTTGAGAAGGAACTACCTCTAGGGGTTTTTTTCCTTTCACCTTTGTCGTTTTGTCTGTCTTGTCCCCTGGGTCCTTGTATCGAAGTCACAGGGTCGCATGCAATCTTGGCCTCCAGTTGCATGAACTTTACAAAGTCGCTGAATGGAGGATACTTCTTCTGTTTTTCTTTGAACTCCACAGCCTTTCTAGCCCATTTGTTGATCAACCAGTCAGGGAGCTTGACAAGTACTTTTCTGTTCTCTCTTTCGTCGTCGAGTACCTGGAGGCTACCAATTGTCTCCATAGCCACCTGGCACTGACCGAGGAAGTCGGCAAGATTTCGCATCCCAGTTCCATCACGAGGAGAGATCTTGGGCCATGATTCCAGCTTGTTGCGGAAAGCGTTGGCGACAAATCTCTTCTCAAGAAGCTCCTTTGCTTTGTCAAATGCGTCGTCAGTTGAGAGGAAGAGGTAGCCTTCAATGGACTCCTTCACAGCTCCACCCAGGTACTTTTGTAGGTAGTGGAGTCTCTCTGAGCGTGGGATGCCCCTCTGTTCGATGAGTATTTCGAAGGCACGCTTCCATCTCGGATACTTAAGGGGGTCGCCAGTAAATACACCAGGCTCTGGCGTCGGTAGACGACTCAGGTTTATCTGCTCTGCAAACGTCTTTGTGAGATCTTGCAGCGTAGTCTGTGGACTGGGCGTTGTCAACTCGCTCTTGATCTGCTGCTGTGATGTACTAGAGTCTTGGTCTGGCTGTGGAATTTCCGGTGTCCCTACTGGTGAGACTGACTTTACTGCAGACTCATCCGCTCCATGAGTAGCGTTCGGGGTAGGCAGGGATTTGATGTATTCTTCTACTAGTGAAGTTTTGCTGTCTGTTTCCTTCACAGCATCAATCACAATTTCAGCATATTCTTCTCGTTCTGCTTGCTCGATGGCCTTTAACCTTGCTTCGGTTTCATGCAAGTCTGTCAAAGTTTGGATTTTCTTGTGTTCAGCTTGTTGCCGTTCAACCTCTGCTCTCTGTTTTCCTTCAGCATCTGCAAACTCAAGCCTCGCTTTCAAGGCAGCTGCCTCGGCAGCAAGCGTTGCCTTGACCGAAACTCCTGAAAATCTTGAAGATTGCCTTGAAGATCTGGTGGCTCTTGAACGTCCGCTGAGGCGTTCTTCTTTGCTCAAGATATGATCTCTAATTTGCTGAAGAAGCTGTGGGTTGCAGAGTATTGATGTCAGTTCACTAGAGGGGGGTTGCGCATCTGGTGTTTCCGGAATTTCTGGCGTAGGAACAAGGAAGGGTGTAGGCGAAGACTGCTGTCGTTCTTCTGTTGAGTCAGCAATGGCGTACAGAACACATGTAGACTTACATGTATATCAAGTTTCAAAACTTAATCAACAAATAGTTAAGACTATCTATGCAACTCTTTGCTCAAATTCAATGTGTGTAAAATCTAGAAAGGGTACAATTATAAACACAAATAGATTTGTGCAATCTACTTGTATCACCAAATCCAACTTACATGTAAAACAATTGCATATACACCATGTATGTTCAATGGTACACACCTATGTACATGTACATGTAACTAGCACTACACATGTACATGTAATACATGTAGTAAAATACACTTCGCATGTGAACGGAAAATGGCAAACAATGTGTTTGATCTCAATACCACTATAGTTCAGTGTGCATGTATCGCATACAGCATATTTATATTCTGGTACAAATTCTGAATTATTATCAACAAAGCTCAAATCAAATGACAATTTCGTTGAATGACAATTTGCATCAAATCACAAATGCAAATTACAATTATGCAAATCAAAATGCACAAATAGACGCAAACTCAGTTTTTACTGTCCAGTTCAAAGATCCACGATGAAGTCTCGATGATCAAGAAATCATATGTCCATGATGTCCGAAGAACAGTCACGGTCGCAACGGACGACAGGTCGCAGGGTCGCTGGGTCGATGGTTGATGGTACCGGAACGGGCACTCGTGTCGCAGCTACAAGAGTGAAGCCATCTCATCAGTACTCAACGCAGGTACAGCCTCGTCTCCAGATGTGAGGATGTGTCGCACAATCACTGATCACGCAGGGGGAGGTTCTTGTAGCAAAGACTGCTTAAGTTACGCAGGAGTTTTCACTGTAGCGGCAGCACTAAATCAATTTCGAGGTGCAGTCTTTTTGGTGTTCGTAGTGCTACTACTAGGGGTTTCGCAGGGGGTCACAGGTCACATCTAAGTCACAGGTCACCTCTAGGTCAAAGGTCGGTAACTAAGGAGTAAACAAGGGTCTCTACAGAAGCCGTTGATTATAACATCTCGCATTTATTCCATGAAAATGATTCGCAAGTCTTCCATGAAATGGTTCGCAGTGGCTTGTGAAATAATCCGCAGTGGCTTCGTGAAAACTGTGAATATATAAACAAAGTAAATATCCTTAGTTCACAGAGTATTACATGAATTATAAAAGCATCGTACATAAATCATCACTTAATCCAATTCCTAAATTCAATGGTTAAACATATACGAAAATCACGCTCAATTTTGAACTATAGAATGTTAAAACTGATCGCAGAATTATCTATAAAATGAATCAAATATACGGTTTACACTTCTTTCTCAAGAATAATAAGAGTCTCTAATTTACCTCCTTGCATCCTTTCCCTCTTAATTCAGTTTGTTGGGTCTCAAAAGAGACAAAACCTCAAGCGATTCTCAGAAAATATCGTCCAAAGATGTCTGACATGAAGGGATTTTACATGTGCTAATGTGTGTTTGTTCGTGGCTCAGTTGTGTTCTCCAAAGTCATCTGACAGAGGGCGCTATACACAAATGCAAACTTGTGAATACATTAACAGTTTAATTTAGATAATCTTGCATGCTCCACGATGTGAAACATTTTCAAAGCTGTTCATAGGCCTATGGCCTGTTTTTTGTTATCAGGCGAGGGCTAGGCCTAAGTTTGCGCGCTTCAGGTAATACTACCCTCCCTGAAGTATAATGGAATTATCATATGACGACATACGCACAACTGATGTATGGTAACGGTCACTTGAAACAATGAAACGGTCGACAAACACTCCCATTTTTTGGAAATTAATGCACTTTCCGTGTTGTCAATTTGTTCGCCGACTTTCCAAGAAGGCTGTGTAGGTCCTATTTTACAAGTGCATTGTCTAGGAATATATGGATCGTTCAGATTTGTGTAAAAGAACATGGTTTTGTCTCGAATTTCCGTATGTTTACATGCACAATCCAGCTACATGCACACGTCGCGTTGATATCGATCGATCGTGCGCGTAATACGCGCGTACTCCTGATTGGCTAAAAGTGCGTATCCATAGTGAGCGCTGTACAAATAAATAGCCCCCTCTGTCGGTTATCCAAACAATGAATGGAACGAACGACTCAATATGTTTGTAATTTAACAATCATACGCTAAATACATGAACATATGCGTGTGTGTTACCGGTACATGTACACGCAAACATGGAAGGACCTCGAAAATTTGGCCCAGTTAGCACTGATATTGCATTCGTGTGAGAAGACAAGACGACATACAGACAGACCACTATTGACGTCGGACAACACCTGGAAAGCACTGAGGCCATGTGTTTCATAGCTCTATGCTTGGACTGACTTCAAGAAGTGTTTGGGAAGTTGCCATGACTTGAAATTAATTAGACTCGTAGTAGTCTGTTGATCGCATAATTAAGCGCTAGCACATCGAGATGTTCCGCACAGCGCGGCACGCTTGCAGTGTACACACTTGGACTTGGACACAGAGCTTGTTTACTACGTCACTTTATGAATATTTATCGAAATTTCTGAACTCAATCGCGGTATTTATGGCGCAATATTTAAAAACATTTCTGAAAACTGTGAAAAGGCCTGCAAATGGGAAAAAAGGCAAATGTATTCGTTAGAGGACATTCCAGTGCTTCAATATTCGTTCGGAAAAGAATATCCACATTTTAGAAAAGCAACGACAATACATCTTTAAAACAAGAATATATTTTTCAATTTTTTTGGGGGGGGAGATCAAGTGTTTTCACGTTTTTTTCGTAGGAGTAAGACTGACGGTGACTATAAGAGGTCTATTTTTTTTTTTTTTTTGAAATATTCATTATTATGAGATATATTTATGAAATCTATTTGTAGATCGCGCCCTATGCGTTGTCTAAACGACATGCTGACCTGACCGTCGCTCACAGCCGACGCCCTCAATTTCCCCAACGCATCTAGTAAATTTCACTGATTTAGAAAACAAGTCTGGAAGTACCTTTTTTCTTTTAAAAATATGTCTTATTAAAATGAACTTGAAAAAAAAATATCTCCTAAAAACAACCTTGAAAAAAAAATATCTCCTAAAAACAACCTTGAAAAAGATATCTCATAAAAATTATTTGTTTCCAAAATGTTTAAAACTGACGCATACGACATTTTTAAGTAACAATTTGTCGTGAATGTATGCACTGAATGTCAGTCCACGCGCGGATCAAGATGGGGGCACACCCGGCCCGTCCCCCCCCCCCCTTTTCGCAACTTTTTTTTTTTTTACGAGTCGTCTTAGGGCGAGCGGGCATTAAATACATCCCTTTGAGAACATGGCTATCTTTTTCTATTTTGAGGAGTCATTATGGCGGGCGGACGGGCGGTCATCAAATCAATCGCTTTGAACATAACTATCATACATAATTATCAACAAAAATATACAATGTATAAGTTTTGAAGGTCGCCTGTCATTCATTGTCTCAAAATTTCTTTCAAAGCAAGAATATGTTTTTATTAGACACTTTTCTTTTTCCCGGCTGGAATAGGGGGCACATTTAATACAACACCTGCATTTAATGCTTCATGTCAAAATATATTCCAAAATATATTCTAGAGTAGAACATGTACCGGTACACGAAATAATGTAGGCCATGTGTTTTTTTTTAATAAATGAAGAATAAAATCGTCATCCCCTTTTTTATTTTCCCGGCCTCAGAGAGAGATTTACGTCTGGTTCTCTAAATATTTTTTTAAAGCAAAATGATTAAAAAAAACCCTAGCCTGTTAAAGTTTGCACTCTAAGTTAATTCTTTTGTAGATTCCAGGGGAAATTTAATACGAACTATGCTCGGTTTTTCTTTTTTTTTAAATGAATATGATCTGGATTAACAACAGCCCTCAAATAATAGCGTCAAAATATATTCCAAAATATATTCTAGGGTAGAGTAAAACATTTTCACAAAATAATGTAGGCCATGCGTTTTATTTCTTAAATACACGAAGAATTAATCGTCATCCCTTTTATATTGTCCCGCCCTCAGATAGAGAGAGACATCAAATAAATCGGGGTTATTTTAATACGATTTAGTATGTCTTGTTCTCTCGATTTATTTTTTGAGTAGAACGATTTCAAACACCCTAGCCCATTAAGTTCTGAACTCTCAGTTAATTCTGTTGTAGATTCCAGGGGAGATTTTAATACGAATTATGCTTAGTTTTTCCTAATTTTAAAAGGAATACGAATAAGCCCTTTGACATCAAACTTAATTTGAAAATGTATTCCGAAATAATTATATTCTAGAGTAACATTTACAAAAATAATTTAGGCCATGCAGTTTTATTTTTTAAATAAGCGAAGAATAAAATCGTACTACGAAAAAAAAACATCGGGAGCCCTACATTTAATGAATTATTTGGACTTGGAATATCATCCCCAAATCGTTTATCTATGTGCATGTACACAACACGGAGGTGAAATTTCAGGTTCTGAATTGAACCTGAAATCTCCCACATTTTTCGCATAAAGTTTTCCCCTGTCTCTGAGAAAAAAAAATGCCCAAATAATATCTCAGCTCCGAAAAGCCTTTCAAGAGAATGATTGATAGCCGCATTGTTCAAATAGATACAATGCCACCCTTTTTTCGTTACAAAGCATATACATTTGGATTCAGCTGTAGGCCACCGAACTTTAAGGCCTTTGAGAACTTGCCGCCAGTAATTGGAAGATTCTTAGTTGAAAAACAGTGATGATAGATAGATAGATAGATAGTTAGATAAATGGTTTATTTTCATTAGACTTGATGTGGCAATCAAAGATTGAATTGGATCAAGTCAACAGATAAAAATGCTAATACAAATACATTAAATAAAATAAATTAAATTAAATTTAAAATAAACAAGTACTTTTACATTGAATGGTCCAAAAACTGTCTTAACCCAAAAGTATCTCTGACATGCCAATCTTCATTAATTAAAAATTCCATTTTACATATAATAACAAATGTCATATGGTATCAGTTGTGATAAAAAATATACAGATATGTATGCAATAATTAAGAAATTTGACAAAGATAACGATAAAGATGACGAGAACAATGACAACAATTAACCACAATCACGACTATATAATGACAAGAATAACGATTAAGACAACGATAAGGACGACAAGAACCATAATCACAATAATAATAATGACAAAAGTAACAACGAATACAACAAGAACAGTATTGACTACAATGGAAACAATAACCACAATTTCCACAGTGACAACGAAGATATAACGAAGACAACAACAACAACGATTACAGCTATAACGACAACCACAATCACCCCGATTTCACTGCGATTCATCAGGATTTCCCTAAAAAGAATTGGGGTCTAGCAAGGAATAAAAACGGGTGAATTTCAAATCTAGCAATCATAAAATTAAAAAAAAAAGTAAAATTAATTAGAATTAATTAAGTCAATGGGGTAGGGTACTGCACTGTTCTTGAATCTATTTGTTCTATATTGCAACTGAGGAATAATGGAATTATGTAGAAATCTGCCATTTGTGGGGCGAGTGGGGATGATATTATTCAACTTGGAATTTGCTTTCAGATCTGTGGCAAATTTAAGACACAACTCAGTTCGTCTGCTACTCAAGGTCGGTATGCTAAGAGTATCTAGGGCATGTTGATAATGAGTGTAATCAGAACCTAATATAAGTTTGAGCGTGCGTTTCTGAACACGTTCAAGAAGATGTACATGCTGTTTGGTTATTCCGCCGTTCCAGAGTGGTACAGCATACTCTAGAAGCGGCCGTAGAAACCCCTTGTAGATTGTAAGAAGGTCCTCTACCGGCAAACCATGGCCTTTGAGAACTCGGATCATGTGTAACCGTCCATTTGCTCATTGAGTCGACATTTGTATCCCACTTGAGATTCTTCTGTATGTGTACACCCAGGAGTTTCACTGTATCCGACTGCGGGAGCTGTTGACCATATATGGTGAAGATTGGTGGGATTGGGGGGTTTCTCATAAAGTTAATTTCCATTGATGAACATTTCGCAGGATTGAGCTTCATGTGGGTCATTCCATGTCAGACCAACGCACTTTTTTACCTCATGTCTTCCGATTTTGATAAAAATTGCTGTGCTTGTAGGTCCTGATGAGCAATGAATGCACACCAATTTTTAGCCCGATCCGACCTACCATGTGGTCAGGGCAGAAACCACAAAAAAATGACATTTTTAGAGTAAAATACCACCCTTTTGGTATAAATATGTCAAAACTATGGCAATTTTCATCGAATATATGTGAATTTGGTATTAAAATAATGAGGATTGCATGCTCAAAGCACTTCTTTTGTCAAAATTAAATTTTGTGAAAAGTAGGTCACATGACCTTTCATATGCTTTCGTGACTTTTGACCCATTTTTTGTAATAATGTATCATTCCGAAAATCAACGAAATAAAAATAACTTGCTAGAGCATGTCTTCCTCTATCAGAATCTACTAAAAATCAGTTGGGGTCTTCAAAATTTACAACTTTATGACTATTTTTGTACAGTTGGTAGGTTACAAATGAGTCAATTTA